ACGCCATGTCTGTCGAGGGGCCCGCACTTTTACGCCCACCCTGTGCCTTTACAAGACAGAAACATACCATGGCAGCAAAAGAAGAATACAATACATGGGCGTTGTTGTCCGCCAATACCACGTACAACTACAGCAGTGCAACAATTCCAATCTACTTTTAAAACATCCAGATAAAATATTTGCAACATACGTCTAAAATAGATAAAATACTTGAAACATGCGTGTATAGGCATAGCAACATATGCAACATCCGATCTACTTTTGTAATATTCAGATAAAACACTTGCAACATAAGTATAAAACATATGAAACACTTGAAACATATGCTTGAAACATGTGGGTAGAGCCATAGCAATATCCAGATAGACACGCTTGAAACATAATTCTGAAACAGTTGAAACATAGGCATGCAACATACGCATAATGTTATTGCAACATATGCAACATCTCAGATCTACTTTTATAACATCTAGATGGAACACTTGAAACAATGCTTGAAACACTTCAAACATGACGTCACTGGCGACCACGGCCTACCTGGTGGGAAACTATGGTAGCCAAAGAAGCTCGGGTCGGGGGACGCCGAGAGTCGCCAGTACACACACCTGCACGGCGCAGGCCTCCCCTTCTTGTCACGGCGTCTTTGGCCGACTGCGGTGCATGCCATGGCCGCGATGGTTCCAGGTGTATGGGGGCACAACGCAGGGCGCGGAGGAGCACCGGATGGGGCCCGGGTGTGGTACACCCACGCTGGAGAAGGCCGCCAGGCTAGAGAAGGCGAGCTGGAGAAGACCGTCGGGCTGGAAAAGGCGTGAGGTGGATGGGGGCGGCTAGAGATGGCGAACGGCGCGGTGGATGGGTCAGCAGGGGCACAGGGCAACGGCCGGCGGGGTGCCTCTCGGGCGACTCGGCCTCCCGCGCTTTCAAGCGGCGTTTCAGAACTCAAAGTCGACGCAAATCTTGCGTCATGCCCTGAGGGCTCTCGGGATGGCCGTCGCTCCAGATGAGCCGATGAGGAGTGGGGATTTTTTTGTTTTTGTTTTAGGAGATGGAGCCCGTCCTGCAGCAGTGTGGGAGCCGCTTCGAGCGTGGGTTACGGGACAGACACGCTACGCCGCATCTAGTAGCATTATTGTTAGAACAAAGAAAAAACATAAGCACTCGATTTCTTGAGAAGACCTGGTAAAAAAAACTTTGCAAGAACATTGTATCTGCTTGCACATTATACGATAAACCTTTGCAAACAGATAGTAGGAAAAATATTAAGTGCTTATATTATATTATATTATATTATATTATATTATATTATATTATATTATATTATATTATATTATATCCCTTTATTAAAATAAAAAAACAAAATTTAGATAAACCATCTCCTAGGGCAGGAGACAAAGATATGAGAAACTAGTTGTTGCTGCGATATTGTAAGCTCTCTTTTCAGTATTTTTTCGAAAACCTGTCTTTTTTCAGCAATTGATGAAATACATAATGAACACTCTATAAGTAGGGATGCTAATGGGAAGGTGGTAAGCGGGGCATACAAGAGGAAAAGGAAATAAACCCACCAAATCCATTTCGACGAGCCGTTCACCCGTGTTCTGGTGAGCCAACGATCCGACAACGTCTGGTTCGACTCGGACGCGCGCGCACGCGTACGTGCAAAGATAGATTTTTTATTTTTTTTAACCCTTTTTAATACTATTTTTAATCTAACACTATTGTGTTTTAAAACTAACATTTTGACCGTGCGTAGTTGCACAGCGCGGCTGATGCGGGCGATATACGGATTTTTTTTCCTTTTTTAATTGAGCCGTTGAGGGTCTACATGCAGTTGCGGACGTTTCTTTTTTTATATATATTAATTAGTTTTCTCTACCATTGTGAATATGTTGGGTGCATGCAGGTCAGTTTCGTTCCGTTGCGTGCGTACACCGCACGAGAGGTTATAGCTGTCATCTTCCCGGGTATATATTTATATAAGATATACTACATAGTTATTTTGTACATAATTTTATATTTTTTTAGACAGCATTGGCAAGTTATGTAAAATAATAACCTATGTACATAGGTTGTATAGAATAAATTATGTGCACAAGTTGTATAAAATAATTTATGTACAAAAGTTATTATTGATAACTTTTATACATAAGTTGTGTTTCACAATTTTTGTGTTTCTAAGTTTTAGTGTAAGTTATAAGTTCATTCGTTCCTTTATATTTAATAACTTTTATGTTTCTAAGTTTTGGCATAAGTTTAAATTAATTCATTCTTTTTTATTTAATAACTTTTATACATAAGTTGTGTTTTCATAACTTCTGTGTTTCCATGTTATATGTTATAGGTCAGTATACATAAATTGTTACTAGAATAAAATTCTTCGAAACATATGTAAGTGGGGGTCTAGTTTTGTTTCTCGTCACGTAGAACACATTGGTGCAGACGAAATTAAAAATGGATACATCGTTCAGAAGTTATAGCAATTTAAAGTAAATATATTGTTTTTTTCTAGTTGTGTCAGGGTGGAATCCAAATAGACACTTAATGTCAGTTCGCATCAGTGCGCATGCCAAAAAGAGAAAGTGCGGACACGCCTCCCTAAAAATGGAATTGACTTGTTGTTGGAGCATTCACTCGATTCTCCATCAGCGATCGTTTGCTGATTAGCGCGCCCGAAAATAAACTGAGGGGAAAAGAGAAGCACGAAAGGTAAAATAGTATAAGGCAAGGGCATTTGTGTCATTTCATATGCTGAATTTATGAAAAAGAGAGGAAAATAGATTGAAAAGATGAAAAATGTCATGAGATCAAGCAAATGCATGTTTGAGTTATATTAGCGAAGCCAATGCTTTGGATGTCAAATAAGTGAAACTACTTCATATGAATAAGACCACAACAAATTTCTCATGAGGAGCCTGTGAAGATGACAAATGACGGCGTGATCTAGTTTCCTAGGACGGATGAGATGCAACCAGTGGCGAGAAGGCCAAGTTTGGGTGTCTATGGATCTAGACGTCCCCAACCACAGAGGTGTAGGAGAGCCGAGTTGGGGCGCCATTGCCTTGTCTGTTTCTGACCTCGTGCAGAGTCGTGATGGGCTATAGCATAGTGGGCACGGAGGCCAAGTCGATAGGCCTCGTCCATGGCGCCCTCCTCGCTATCGTTGAGTCCTAGGACGACAGCCGCTGCAACTTCTAAAGCCGGCGGTTGGGGAAGTGCGGCTAAGCAGGGGAGCCGAGGTATATGTAGAGGTGTGAATCGGGGTATTGGGGAGGGAATGAAAGGTAGTGTGTGGTAGAAATGTAAAGGAAAGGAATGGGATGGTGATGATTAATTGACAAAGGGCAGGGAGCGGACATTGGAGAGGGGCAAGGCCGACATGTGGGTAAAGATTTCTATGGTGGAAAAAACTGTGAGTAAGGAAAAGGACAATGTATATGATCAACTAATCCATAGACATAGGATCCACATAAGTTATCTTTAGTTGTTCCACTTTCCACACAATGTTGATGCAAGACATGGTCTTTAGGGTAGGTCCCACACAGAGAAAAATTTAGTTGTCGTCACAAATCTGACTTTTTATTTCTTGTCTTGTTCACCACATGACGGTCCGATTATCCGCGCCATTGCTCACCCGCCCCTCCGTGCTTGGATCAAAGTCCCTTCCCCCAAGCTCCTTAGAGATGCCTCCCCCTTCGGAGTCGTGCATGGAGGATTGGGATGGCTATGCATGGCACCGCCGGTGGCCATGGTGCAGTCGGAGGGGAAGTGGCCCGCGGGTGGGTACGACAACATCTCAAGAGTCGAGAGAAGAGGAATGAGAAGGCGAGAGAGTGTTTAATATTCTTTTTGTTCTTATGGATTGGCTATATCCATATAGACTATCTTATATATCACTTTTACAAAGTTTATGGACTGCTTTAGGTAGTTTATGGGCTGCTTTTTCTCCCCGCTATAGATGCCATAAGGTGCGTAAAGGGTGATCGTAATACCTCGTATCTTTATGCATACCTTTAGATTTGAAGATACTAAACCATCCAAGGGTCATAACATAGGGTGAGTAATGAACTTTTGAGTAACAGCTATTTTTCAAAATCCTTCACTCTTCTAGTATAGAATAGATAGGATTCTAGACCAGACCGTAGAACGAGTTGATAGGCACACATAAACACAAAGTACCTTTACAAGTAATATGCTAATTACTGTCATGCGTAATTCATCGCAATCCAGTATACCTTGCCATAATTATATCCTCTTCGTGTCCATCTGGGATCAAATTACCCGGAGGATTATTAATTAGCATGTCATGATTATTCTCTAGGCCTGTATGCTGTAAATGTTGTCCTGCTGATAGCATGATAGCTACATGGCTTGCAACGAACTACGGTATCTTTAGTCTTGCACGACAATGAACTACGATATCTTTAGTCTTGCACGACAATGGCCATAGCGGTGTGGGACATCGTTGGTACAACGACGCAAGCATGACGATGACTTATTCTGGGTCGATATGGTGTAAATGTTGTCCTCCTGATGGCATGGTAGATTCATAGCTTGCAGCGAACTACAACGTCTAGTTTTACATCGTAATGACTAGAGCGGTGTGGGACATCGTTGCCTCCATTGGTAATAACGGCATGAGCAAGATGGCTTATCACCTTGACAACGGCGATAGTGGTACAACATGATAAACGACTAGGGGTGGTTGGTCCTCATGGTGTGGCCGTGGTTGTACAGCTATGAAGAGATGATGTTGTTTGGCATGTGTTGAGGCCTCAATCCATTCGGCCACCATGGTTAGTTGCTTATAGCTGTTAGCTTAGTTTGTTGTTGTTGTTGCTCCTGCTGCTGCTTGACCCTTTTAAGGTTATTGTTGCTCGGTTGTAGACTCAGCCCGGGTAACTTCTTCTTTTTAATATAATCAGCAGTTCTCTTGTCTGAATGTTTTTTTAATAGACGATTCTAATCTCCTCTTTTTAACGAAGATGGTTTGAATCCAATCATGTCAGACGACCACTAAGTATAGCAGATGCTTGTGTCACGGCCCTGGCCACTCTGTAGACCTCATGCTGTACAAACTTCCACGACTCCGAAGTGTTGCTGCTCCGAGCGCTGGCTATTGCATTGGCTATACCGGGATAGATTGCAGTATCCCAGTCATTCAGATCTGAAGGTCCATACACCTATGGATGGGAACACTTACTGTTAGTATAACTATAGCCTTATGCAATTTCCAGAGAGGAAGGTGAGTGCTTTGCGCATGAGTATCTGCTCACCAGATGCTTAAACCATTCTTGCTTGAAGATGCCTTCCCTGCTAGTGAAAGCTCGCTCGGTCTGCATAAGCCGGTCATTAAGCTGTCGGATTTTCAGTGAATCCTTGTTCAGCTGCTTGCTCAAGAGTTGCTTTTGAAGTTCCTGAAAGTCCCATGTCCCTTAGTCATCACAGTTCACAAAACGCAGTATGGTAGACTGTAAGTTTTGCAATAACTCAAGCAGCAATTCTCAAGTGAAGGTACCTTTTGTTCGTTATTCACTTTGGTAGCTGCTGCTTTGAGAGTCCTGATTGAGTTGTACAGTGGGGAACAAGTGACAGTTGTTCCTTCACTTCATTCTCTACCGTCTTTGTGTATTCCTGCCACCGGAAGAAATTTAGGGCTTCGTCATGTTTCCATATTAACAAGGATATCTATGTTAATTTTTCTATGTCCCCTGTGTCTGAGTGGCTCTACTGGCCTCTACAGAAGCAACATTTAGTGAACACTGGAGACGTCTTACCTCAAGCTCAATTGCATAGGACATGTAATTGAAGGGTAGGATCTCTTCATTTGCCAACCTCAAAGCCATCATTCCCCATATGCTAGCAGCTGCAAGATGAAAATCTTGGTTACCATGTCGTGGTGGCGCAGATAACACCTCAACTAATATTATGCACAAAAACAGCATCATTGAGCAGACCTGCCACATGCCTACGGAACCCAGGATCTCCGAATTTCGCCATCCATACGTAGTCATCATATAAGGAGTGGTAAACCGGATATCCTGGTCCTACAAAAAGCAAAAAAGTGCCCAGGAAAGTTCATTGAAAAATACAAAAGTCACTGAGCACACAAATAGCAAAGAGCAGGGCATTACCTTCTCCAAAAAATTATATTCATCGAAGGAATACCAACATGTTGGACAAATGCTGAATAGTCTGATCCTCCATCACCTAGTCTTAGAACCTTAATGCAGGAGATACGCAGTGAATAGTGAGTAATGTTATATAATTTGTCAGGAAGTAGAAGTGGTTTCCTCCTGAAACCACATAATTCTTGAGGATGGAACTGAAACTCAAAGGAATTGTAGCTTGATAACAATGCAATCACTATATAATAGTGACAACTAACTGGGTCCTCAGCACTACACAGAGGGTAGACTGTTGGATAAGCAAGTTGCAACAACTCACCCGAGGAGGAATGCTCGATTTAATCCATGAATCATACACAGTCTGAGATGAATTATCAGGATCTTGAACCTTCACAAATTGACAAAGAGCAGTTTAAATTTTGGGCATCGTAACAAGGAAAATACTATATTCATATTGTTGACTACTAACATGGGGACCAAAAGCAAAACCAAAAGCAAACAAAGTTTAACTATAGTATAGTATCATGTTTTCCCTCTTCCTGGGTATGCTATTATCACTAGTTTCAGGTAGGATGGACATACCACTTTAGTTACTTGTTGAAGTAACTCGTCAAGTTGGGGAGTTGTAGAAGGCAGGAATCCTGGACCAACGACTGAAACGTCAATATTCAGATAAGCAACAGCTCTAGAATATAACATCTCCCGGTTTTCTTCAACCCATTCAGTAGAACCTGTCTGAGTAAATGCAAATGTGATCAATCTTGCTGTTTTAAAGACGAACAAGAGTGGTTCAGAGATAGAAACACACCAGTCCGTATTCTTCCGCATCCCAACTACAAAAGATAATGGTTCTTCGAGGTCTCCATCCTTGCTTTTGCAGCATTGAAAACCTTTGAGCTAACTAGATAGACAGAAAGTGAAATAACATGTTATGAACCAGATAAGTAGCAGATCGTGTATCATGTACAGTACAATATTGAGGTCAGGCATAGAAACATGAAATGGAACTAAGGTTCAGTCACTTCAGCTTACTATTCAGTGGACATGGCTACTTTTTTTAACGAACATGGCTGGAGCTCTGCCTTTCAATTACGGGGGAAGCAATTTTATGTACAAGACACGTCCAAACGGCCAGGACCACAGATTTCCTCAAAAACACAAGGGGAGGGGTTAAAGCCTCAGCAACAAGCGAAGACCTAGGCAAGGCGCCTAACTCTAGGTATTAAACAAGGACATGGCTAGTACCTGCTCTAAACTACTTTAATCAGTATTTTGGCATAGTAGGTCAACAAAAACAAAGCGTACTAAAGTATAAAGAAGACATTTTGTAACTGACGACTACCTCAATCATAGCTGCTGTTCCACTGTTGGGATCGGATGCACCAAACGCGTCCAAGCATCACGATGGTTACCAAGAATGACATATCTAGATCACAGAATGTTAAAATTCTAAGTTCAGTCACATCTTTGGCAGAAAAAAGATATAATATTCAATGTGGTTAAATTGTGCCAACGCCTATATGCAAGTAAGCAGATTGAAACTTCTTCAATATCTGTTTAACTCTGAGTACCTCGGAGGCTAGGACGGAGTCTCATTGTTTGTTTTTGTTCGTTCAAGAAAAAAGTTTGCTTTCAAGGAAATCGTTTTACAGTCATGAGAGGCTGAGATACTACAAAGCTACCCATATAAAATGAGCCTTCAGTGAAAGAGTTTCCAATAAATTAAAAGAACAAAAGAGCTTGCCCTTATGCATCTGGTTCTTAATTGTGCTTAACTATTTTTTCTCTTGAAGGAAAGATTTTCATAGCTACTGTACATTACAAGGAAGACCAACAATGGCCATCCCAAGCCAACCTGAATATGTATGAAAAGTCAGAGTGTTTAAATTACATAGTAGATATATTTTCCAAAATAATGATGTACCTGCAGAACCTTCCGATGTGCAAGTGGGCCCTATCCTGTATAGGATATGCTAACAGGTTTAAAAAAATATGGAGTACATGATTATAGAATTTTGTAGTACCACGCGTCCAAGCCATGCACACCTTGACAGGACATCATATTTTTTTTCTTCTACATAAACTCCTTATTAACTCTCTTAAATCATTAGCTAATAGGAAGGAAATTTCGTGGACACCGGGTCCTATAATTTCTTTTTCTTGGCAAGCGAAAAGAGTTATCAGATACTTTCATTTTTTTTATCTTTGTACAATAACGAGTTAAATGCATGAGCAGTCCGTGAACTTGTCAAGGATGCCACTTAAGTCCATAAACTTTGAAAATACATTTTTAGTCTCTAAATTTGTTAAGTTATGCACCGCAGTGGTCGCTATGGTCCACAAATAGACTTACCATGTACCATTTTACAAGTTTAGGATGTGTGGTACATCACTTTTAGAGACTCAGAAATACATTTCCAAAGTTCATAGATCTAAATGACATCTCTTTATAAGTTTAGAGACCGCTCTTTAACCTTCTATAATCTAGTATATAAGGTCAACGACAGCACTACAAAAGTAGTGCTCTCAACTGCCCAAGTGGGCTGCGTGAACTTCAAAGGTTTGACAAAACAGAAAGATGCAACGTCACATTCCACCAAGAATTTGTTACCTAATAATAACAAGATAAAAAAAGGAACTAGTTACCTATCGGGCTCTTCGGCGCCTTCGATAATGGCAAAGACATTCTCAATTGTTGCCATCGTATCATTCCCCTGCAAAATCCAAAACAATAGCGTCATGCCCCAAGGCAATGAACCGAAAAGACGAAGGTGCCTCGAATCGAATTGTACATACAAGATACGTTAGGTTCAAAACTGCCGGCCCGGGGCCGAGGCGGTACACGGGGCCGCCCTCTCGGCCCTGCCAGTCCGCCGGCGCCACGGCCCCGCCCATGGCTCTGTGTATCTCCATCGCGTCCTGAGCCGACACCGGTAGCGCCGGGATGAGCGGCATGTCATCGGTGTTCATGGCCTCCTCCACGCTGACGCGCTCGCAGCCCTCGGACGACGCCCACATCGGCGTCGTCGGGTCGCCCACGCCCCGGAACAGGCTCCCCACCTGCACGCCGCTGGGCGGCAGCCACCGCGAGTCGGGGAACCACCGCTCACCGGGTGCGCCGCCGTACTCCAGCGGGTCAGTGTACACCACCGCGGCCGCGGCGCCGGCGGCGGCGCGCGCGTTGTGCGCGATGTCCTCGCAGTGGATCCTCCCGTACCGCGCGAACGTGACCTTACCCGCGACGTCCACGCCGCGGGAGGCGAGGTAGGCGAAGTCCTCCTCGCGGCCGTAGTTGGCGTACACGGCCTCCGCGGAGACCGACCCCGAGGCCGCGTACGCGTAGAACGTCGGGATGGTATCCGCGGCGGCGGCTGCGTAGGGGTCGTTGGGGTAGGTCTCCTGCTTCAGGGAGAAGGAGGTGACGACGCCGCGGCCTGGCGCCAAAAGGGAGAGGGAGCGGTGGACGGGGTAGGAGAGGAGGACGGAGTAAGGCGTGATGTGGGCGGGGAAGGAGAGCGCGTCGAGCACGTAGCGGGCAGTGAGGGCGTTGGCCTTGGTCCCTGCGACGTGCGGGTGGAGAGTGAGCGCTCGTAGGTGCGAGGCGGCGGTGTCGTTGGATCCGAGGGAGAGGAAGAGCGCCTCGTAGTTCGGGACCGGGTTGGGCGCGGGCTGGAGCGCGAAGAAGAGGAGCACCGCGAGGGAGGCGCCGAGGACGGCGAGCATGGAGGAGAGGAGGCAGAGGAAGCGGCCGCGCGGGTGGGGTTTTGCCAGCGGCGGCGAGGGGCGAGGAGCGAGGCCGTGTCGGGGCGGGACATGGCGCCGGAGCTGGTGGGTGGTGTGCTCTGCTGTGGCGAGCGGCGGCTAGGCAGGTAGCGGGGAAGCAGCGGGTGCTGTCCACTCCGCGCACGCCGGACAGGAATTCACTCCGCTGGACTGTTGCTGTCAAGCCAACGCTGGAGAATATGCAAATCGCGGTACCTTTTTCTTCTTTTGAAAAGGAAATCGCCGTAGATTGGATGCAGAGGATCCGTCCGCGTTCGTTCTCCACGGTTTTCGCTTTTACACATTGTGAGCAGTGAGCGTGCTCCGTTCCCGGTTGCAGTTACACTGACGGGATGCTTGTGGTTTGTTGTGAAGCAGGTGTCATAGGGCGCGTTTGGCCGGGCTCCCACCGGCTCTGGCTCACACATGTAGCGTAATCAAGTGCAGGAGTTAGAGCCGGAGGAGAAAAAAAAGCGAGCTTCTTCTGGCTCGGCGCCGCCAAAGAGAGAGAAAGGAGGAGAGAAAAACGGCTTACGTGAATGTTGTCGTCGCTGGGAGATGGAACAGGGAGGAGTCGAGGAGCCGAGCCGCTCGGAGCCCGGCCAAACGGGCTCATAGTGGTACGTGGTGCTACCACTACGTCTGTTTCAGTCTGGCTGGACCGTTGACCCTGTTTAAAAGGCGATTTAGGTCTCAGCGACATGTTAGGTCAGTCTGAGTGAAAATTTCACGAGTTTCGTTATACATAGGTGTTTTTTATGACAGCATAGTTTTTAGCAAGAGAGAGCGAGTTTATTTAAATGAAACTCTCTCACCACGATTATCAACTATATATAAGTCGTGAAATCAAATGTCTATGAAACTAGTGAATGAAACTATTCATTCGAGGATAGTATGTTTTATTCATTTTTATTTCATTTTACATGATGTGGTAGTTTAGGAAACAACGTCATAAAACTCTTCATTGAAAAATAACCTTAGTGTGCAGTTTCTTTTCCAAGATAAAATCAATTCTGTAGCATTTAAAGATCATCGCTTTCAAATATCATCGCAGAACCTCCTTTTTGTAAAGAGTCAATGTTTTAAATCCCCGGGCTAAACCATTTAGAAATGGCTTCCTCTAAAAGCTATGGTCCTGTTCGCTTGGCTGAAAACCCAAGCTGAAAAGTACTGTTGGCTAATTTATTGTGAGAGAAAAACACAGTTTCTTCGCTGAAAAACGGCTTATAAGACAAGCGAACAAGGTCTATAACGAAAACTATCCCATTTAGGGGTTCTATAAAAAAACATAAAAATATTTAATTAGTCATTGCATAAATATAAAGCTAAGAAAAATTCATACACGCAAATAATTAAATTTATGTCCCGGGCTCTCAAAAAGCATGTCTTTATGTCAATTACTTGACAACCATTTAATCAACCAATATACTCGCTGGTTATAGCTACAATCAATATTCATATTCATTTAACATTCAACAATAAAAAAAACTCAACAACAATTCAATAATTCATTGCATTATTTATTATAAGTAATAGATTTGAGTACTCTAGAGCAAAGAATGAAAATTCGCTTCTCTTAGGATTATATGAGCTATTGGCTATGCCAAATGATGGTGTTTAATGAAGGTAAAGCGTTCATATGAGCTATTCGCTTCTCTTAGGATTATATGAGCTTGGCCCTGTTCACTCGAACTTATCAAACTGGCTTATCAGCCATGGAATAATGTTTTTCTTTTATAGCAAATTAATAAACAGTATTTTCGGCCTGGCTTTTCAATGGTAGGCCTTAAAAAAGCTATAGCGATGGCATGGTGTGGTATTTAAAACCACGTAAAGAGTAACTTGTGTGAATCGACCATACATAAATGTGGATGCAAATTGGTCAAAAAACTTGTAAACTACTCAAATAAGTGAAATACTCAGCAAATCGGTGCATAAATGGTCCAAACATTGCTAACGTGGTAAATGTACTTGCCAATTCGACGATAGGATTAATAATGATATAGCAAGCTAAAAGTCCCGTTTGGATTTTGATAATTAATGATAACATTTGTAGACTAATCACTAATGTTTTCAAGTAAGATGAAAGGTTAAGAGCGTGTTTAGTCCCAGGAAGTTAGAATTTGGGGCTACTGTAGCACTTTCGTTTTTATTTGGCAATTAGTGTTCAATCATGGACTAATTAGGCTTAAAACGTTCGTCTCGTAATTTCCTACCAAACTGTGCAATTAGTTTTTTTTCGTCTACATTTAATGCTCCATGTACAGACCTCAAACATTCGATGTGATAGATACTATAGCACTTTTTAGGAATTTAAAGTGAAACTAAACACGCGCTAAGTATAGTCCACGATACAAGACTCGAGCTACACGAAGGCCATGAAGATGAGATGGCATGAATCATGATGCAAGACAGAGTGAAGAAAGAAAGCGAGAGCATGAAAACAAGTCAAAGGCAAAGGTCCCATCCTTCCGAGTTTCCGGTTTGTTTGAGGTTTTCCATTGCGAGGTGCTGACGTGGAGAACGATAATATTTTTTAAGCACGTGAGCACATGCTACATAAATTGGTAGCATAAAGGAAACAGAAACCTTTTAAAAAAAAAGGAAACGGGATCGGCAAGCTAACAGGCAGGTGGCAGCCAGATGTTGCCTTAGGCCTATTTGTCACAGCTCATAATAGCTGTCTGAGCTGTTTTATTTGTTAAACACTCGTTTTCAAAATAGATTTACCTATGAAGTTGTTTTTCTCACCCTCTCACAAAGACATAAGTTGGGATAAAGCTGGAAAAAAAGTTTATCCCAGCTCTTATCCTCATTTCTCTCTTCCATCTATGCATGAAGTTGTTTTGCCAAACAAAATTTTTAAAATAGCTCAGTTTCACCTACAAAGTTGCTCATTAAGCCATTTTCTAAAAAAACAGCTTTACTGCCCTTCCTACTATGGTGGTGTTTCGTTGCCCCTCCTAAATTTTAGTCGTTGTCCATCGAATATTTGGACACATACATGGAGTATTAAATATAGACTAATTATGAAACTAATTGCATAGTTTGCGACTAATTTGCGAGACGAATCTTTTAAGCCTAATTAGTCCATGATTTGATAATGTGATACTACAGTAAACATGTGCTAATGACAGATTAATTAGGCTTAAAAATTCGTCTCGTGGAGTACTGACGGATTATGTAATTTGTTTTTTTATTAGTATCCAAACACCTCGTACAATATCTTCCCGACATACCTCCTAAATTTTAGTCACGGCATCCAGGCACCACCTATTTTGCGCGCTTGTTTATCCCGCTGCCAGTCAGACACAGTGAAAATGCACAGGAGCGCAAGTGATTCTATACAAAATTATTGGGTCGACTTGCACATGTCGCCTTCGGAATCTTTTGCGTGCAACCTACCTCTTCATGAATTCTAGACAGATAGCGACCCTCCGTCTACCTCTGCATTTCATATCATGTTAGTTTACCATCCAGGACTGCAGAAGCCTTGGACAGCCCTTGCAACCCTGTAAATCTCATGCTGCAGTGATCGCCATGTCTCAGTTGTGTTGGACTTCTTAGCCTTGTCCATGGCCGAGACGATACCAGGGAAGGTTTTGGTCCCCCAGTCGTCTTGATCCGATGATGCATATAACTGCAAAAGGACAAAAGAAGTGAAATGTTTTGTCACTGTCAGCTTCACTGTTCAAAAGCGCACGTCAAAACGCTATTTCTAGAGCTCTACTGTACTCACCATATGCTTGTACCATGGCCTCCCGGTGAGTCCTTCTCGGTTGGTGAACGCTCGTTCGGCCATCATCAACCGGTCGTTCATCTCCCTGACTTTCAGTGTGTACTGCCTTGTCTTTAGGCTCCAGTTTTCTGCTTGCAGCAACTACATACCAGAAATGAGGTGTTAAAAGTTATAATTTGCAGGTTACACATCTGGGTGTCAAACACGTCACGTCTTACTTTCTTCTCTTTGTAAATTTTGGTGGCAGCACTCTCGAGCTGCTTGATGGACTTCTGCAAAGGAGAGAAACTGACAGGAAATCCTTTATATTTATCTACGATATCTTTTGTGCACTCCTGCAGTCAACAAGATGACACAACTCTTTCATGTCTCATGATTCATAAACACAAGTATACCAATAAACAAGAAGCGAATTGTGTACATCAAATGTGAATAAGTGGTACCTCCAGCTCGGACGCATAAGAGACGTAATTGAAGGGTATGATCTCGTCGCCAGCAAGTTTCAGTGCAATCAAACCCCAAACGCTGGCCACTGGATAATTATGCAAGGAAAATTGATTTGCATGCACTTGGGATAAACTTGAAAGCTTTCTTTAAAAATAGATGGTTCAGTACCTGCAACATGCCTGTGGAACAAGGGGTCTCCAAACCTCTCCACCCAAACATAATTATCGTACAGCGAGTGGTAAACAGGGTATTCTTCAACTGCAAATTGTGTTACATCAAATGCTAGATAAGTAATACTCCTAGTGGCTATTGGTAATGAAAAGCCATGTTTCCAACATGGTTCCCACATCCCAATCTTGTGAATTCATTGCGTTTTAAAAAAAATCTTGTGGATTCATTTGTCACGACACTGAAGCGATAAAACAGAGAGGTGTCGATTTTAATGCTTCAAATCAGTTTCACTTACACAGTCCATAAGACATGTCGAGTGACGGGACCCCTATATGCTGGACAAATGCTGCAAAATCTGTTCCAGCACCAGCCACTCTAGTGATCTGGGGGGAAAAATGTTTTCACTTAAGTACCACAGTAGTTCTTATCCACTCACTCTTTTTCATCACTTGTTTGGACCAGATCAGAGCTATAGAACATCTTTAACACTGCTGAACATACATACCGGTGGATGATATCGCATCATGGTGTCATACAAGGTTTGAGATGGTTCATCGGGATCTGGTACCTTCGAATAAAGAAATGACGAGAAGGTAAAACGGGAGTCTACATAAACTGTAATATAGAAACAGGGTAGAGCTTGAATACCATTTTACTTGCTTCCCTGATCAATTCATCAAGTTGTGGGGTTGCACGGGGTCTAAGACCCCCAGGACCAAACACTGATATGTCCACGTTCAGGTAAGCTATAGCTCTCGAAGCTAGAGTGTCCATGTTCTCCTCGGCCCATTCAGTAGATCCTATCTGAGACACTGTTAATCTAAGCATGTGACTTGCAGAGAAGGATATGTAAACCAGTGAGCAAGGAGGTACCAGGGCAAACTCTTCTGCGTCCCAACTACACAGGATTATTGTTCTTCTAGGCCTCCACCCTTTCGCTTGTAGCTTGGACAGCCTCTCCGCGATCTATATACAGTGGGAGGAAACTGGATGCCTTCAGAATTTGTTTTTCGAAGTAGAGTTTCTTGAAATTGTCGAATATGCCATCAAAATGGCCTCGTATAGTCGTATGATTTGCATGCTATATTCAGTAGTAGTAGTTTACCTCAAGCATGGCTGCCGTTCCACTGTTAGGATCAATTGCTCCAAACGTCCAAGCATCACGATGGTTGCCTATGATCACATATCTGCAAATACGTCAAACAATATTTAATTTTTATGGTTTCACGATTCCCATGTGCCACAATGCTGAATTCACTGTTAGCAAATTTGATCAATCTGCGAACTGAGGAACCATGAACTCAGTCGAAGAAATGGGCATATGACATGTGCAATTCGGTGCCTTGTGTTGTGTTCTATTTTGCAGGCTGCAGTTAGCCAAAATTATGCAAATCTATACAGTATAGAGAGACTAGTTACCTGTCAGGCTCCTCTTTTCCTTCTATCACCGCAAACGCATTCGCCCTTGGGCTGGTTTGGCTTATAAGCCGTACTTTTTTCAGTAAATGAACGATATTTTTCTCTCACACCAAATCAGCCGCCAACAACACTTTCAGTCATGGCTTATTAGCCAAACAAGCCCAAACGAACTGGGTGATTTTGGATGGTTGCTAAAGTCTCGTTTCCCTGCAAATCGTATAAGTCAATAATCAATAAATTCGTCCTTGAATTCAGACAATACTACCCGACAGATAATGATTGCTGGTCACTGAGGCACTCACAATGTAGGTGAGATTCAACACGGCCGGGCCGGGGCCGAGCCACTTCGGCGGAGCCACGTCGCCGCCCATCGCCTTGAGGATCGTCTCCCCGTCCCTGGCCGACACCGGCAGCGCCGGGATGCCCGGCATCGCCTCGCTTCCGTCCAGCTCCTCCATGCTCAGCCGCTCGCAGTCGTCCCCAGCCGCGCACGACGGCCACAGCGGCGTGGTCGGGTCGCCGTTCCCGTAGTACAGGGTCCCGACCTGCACGCCTGTCGGCGGCAGCCACCGCGCGTCGGGGAACCACTTGCGCTTCTCCCCCTTCGCCGCGCTCCCGCCGAAGTCCTTGGCATCGGTGTACACGATAGCGGCGCGCGCGTTCCGCACCATGTCCTCGCAGTGGATGTCACCGTACCGCACGAGCGCGACCTTGCCCGCGACGTCGACCCCGCGGGAGGCGAGGTAGGCATAATCCTCGTTGTGGCCGTAGTTGGCGTAGACGACCTCGGCGGTGACGGAGCCGGATCCCGAGTAGGCGAAGTACGTCGGGAGGACCTCCGCCGCGGCCTCGGCGTACGGGTCGCCTTCGTAGGTCTCTTGCACCAAGGAGAACGGCCTGGCGGCAAGGCCGGGCGCCGCGGCGAGGGAGAGGGAGCGGTACAAAATCCTAGACTGGTTCGTACTTTGGCGAAAGATTCGATACCTATTTTTTTCAACAACAAAATAAAAAAGAAAATCTTTTTTTGTAAATAGGTTTTTTCAAGAGAGATGATGTCCATATTTAGATCGTGCCTCTAAAACAACTCAAAATAGATCGACTCAAAATGGGTCTTCCATATAAATACTCTATGTTAGAGACTGATTCTTCCTACCTATTTTAGATTTAGACGCTCGTATATGTTTGTTGTTAGAGACGGTCTGAGGGCTGATATGTGCTGGGAAGGAGAGGGAGGACAACGCGTGGAGCACGTAGCGGGTGGCGGCCGCGTTGGCCTCGGTGCCAGCGACGTGGGGGCGGACGGTGAGTGCGCGGAGGTGGGCGGCCGCGGTGGCGTTGGAACCGAGGGTGAGGAATAGCGCGTGGTAGTGCGACGAATTGGTTGGCACGAGGAGGTGGTAGGACGCGACAAGAGCTGCCGTGACGGTGAGGAACGAGAGGAACCTGCGCCTCCCGGCTGCGCCGCCACCGTTGGCGGCTGTGGGCGTGGGAGAGTGGAGGAGCGGCTGCCGCTGTTTGCCGCCGCGAGACGTGGCCATGGCGCTCGCGCTCGAGAGCTCGACCTCAGGAGTCAGGACTACTCAGGAGGTGGGAAGTGATTAGGGAAGATGCTCGATAGGTCAGTGCTTCGATTATCGTCAAAACGGACTTTGTTTCCTCGGGGGAAAAAACCGGCGGCCTTTGTACTTTTTGTAGAGGATCTTATGTTCAAATTGTAGCGACATCATTATGTTAAACCCAACCACAGGCTTGTTGTTTGTCTATCGTGCTTACGAACTTTTCTTCCGTAGAAAGCTATTATAGGTATAGTTAAATTAAAATGGTTACAAGTTATCAAATTTAATTAAAAATGCACCGATATTATTAAGTTAGTATTGCTTAATTTATCATGTACTTCCATCGTTACGAATTATAAGATATTTTAACTTTTTTAGATAATATATCTAGACATAGCGTATACCTAGATGCGTAATAAAAGTTATATACCTCGAAACACCACTTCATCAAAACCGTCGACACAGAATTTTCGTCTCCGTGCCGAGGACACACGCAACAAGTCGGAAGGGTCTGCTCGATGGAGCAGATCCGCCTAGCTTCAGCGCAAGGGTGGTCGATCCTGCGCAATCCTCTCGAGACGTGCCAGTCAATTTTACCCTGCAATTGACAAGGAGAGAAAGCTTATCAGTAATTAAGGGCGGAACGTGCCGGTGTTGCAAGACAGTCCCGAATGTGCGGCTCTGAGAGCCAATATGAGAGGAGATCGACTAAATAGTCGATCCCAGTATATTCATAAGAATAAACCGATTAAAGCTCATGGGGTTGTGTAAAAAGAATCGGTTATCATTCAGAATAAATATAATTCGAGCAAAAATTAACCAAATGCAATAAGATATCAATGATGAACGGTTTAAACTGAGCCAATGATTACAAGTAACCGAACCCCTTTTTATATAAAGAAATAATTCAACACCACTTAACCATTTAATAAAGATAAATCTAATAAACATGTTAGATCTCATCTATCGTCATGACCAGTGGGACATGAGACAGAATCATGCAAGCCATAAAAACAACAATAGACACGACGACCCTAACTTGTTACTAATATCAGTGGGACATGAGGCAGAATCATGCAGGCCATAATACAATAACAAAATCATGGGGCTAACATATCTTTCAACTTATCTCTACTTCAATGATCTTATAATGTGAACTGTTCGTGAAAGCGCTCGATATCGGTTAAACAGCCGATTCAGGCATAGTGCACAGTTAAGGTCATGCCTTCTCAGGAACGGGTTTACCAACTAACGATCCCCACTCCACGGTGCCAACAGTGGGGTGAGAGGCAGAATCTCACAGGCCGTGATGACGGGCCATGGAACGGTTTTCATTAACTAATAGATCTACTCAAGATCGGGCATGCCTTAATCGCACGCTATGCACGATTAAGATTGACACAAAACAGCCGATAAAACATAACTCATCGCTTAAGATATAGATTAGATCAGTTTTAGATTAGCAAACGATGAGTTAAGCAAGATGTAAGGCCGATCCAGATCAATCTTAATCGGACAGAGTGATATTGCTGTAATTAGATAAACAATGAAAACAATAAGCAATATCGGTAACTTAATGAATCTACTAAAGACTGTCATGTTAAGGTAGAGCCGATAACTTGAACTTGATCTAATTCAAGCAGTGGGGTGTGAGGCAGAATCACACAGGCCATACTTGAATTAGACAAGAGTCGATAACTAGCCTATACCAAAGTCGTAGTGGGGTTCGACCAGATCGATGTAGTCATACGAACAGAGGTATAAACCATGGCGGTACTTACAGACAAGCAGTGCAGGTCGACCGGATCAATGCGGCCGTACTTGCTGAAGAACTCGCCGAGATCTACTCTACTCCTACTCCTAAGGGGTGGCCGGAGGCGAAAAAAGTAATTAACTTTGTATTTGATTGGTTTTTTTTTTACAATAGCCGGGGTTTGATATTTATAGCCGGAGTCTAGACATGAATCCTACTCGAGCATGATTTGTCACAATCTTTGGCATAAAACGAAAACATTCCTAATTTAAGACAACTTGGACTCTAATCTTTCCCTTTTTATAGAGTCTAGCATGTCGCGTCCCAGCGTCGATCATAGCCTCTGTCGTTATCTGCTGACGCTATCTGAAGAAAGCCGATTCTAGTGCTGCATCCGAATCAGCTTGTTCCGATTCACACGCAATTGATTCCTTGCTGACATGATTTTGGGAGTTCTCGAGCTTCTGAGATCCTCCCTCCAAATTCCGATGTAAACAAAAACATATAAAGTTTTCGAACAGAGGGATTTCCTTTTGGGCAGATAGAGTAGTAAGTCGGATGCTCCGAATGTTTTGTACACAGCCTCTCCGATAACAGCAGTTTGGGAATTGGGACCCAACCCAAGCTAATAAATAGCGAACAACGTGTTTGTTGCGAATTGATGTCTACATAGCAAATCACGGATAGCAGACGCTAAGTTCTAATAGTTGTATCCAATAATTATGCATAAATATATGTATGCATATCATGAGTAATGACTCTTCACACATTTGTCGTAACTGAAAATTAAATTATTGATAGATTAGTGAACATAGAACTTCAAAAATAAATAATTAAATATATATTTAGTTGAACTCAAATAATTGATGTTTCGGTCCAACTTATATTAAGAAATAAACATGATTTTTTTCAGTTGATTTAGTAACACGATGTTTCTTGTTGATTTAATGGCTTGTCATTAATTAGTTTTGGAAACAATGGGTCCACTAATCAGGAAATGGAGATAGGAAAGGAGATAATTCCTTATTTGACACCAGAAAAATGACCCGTTCCTTTCTTGGTCCTCAAAAAAATTTTGTTCCCTATTTGACATCGAGTTCAATTTTCATTCCTTATATGACACTCCGTTGGATTTTTCGTCCGTGGACCGTTAACTGCCATGCGAAAAGACGATTTTACCCTCTGTGGGCCCCACCACCCTTTTCTCTCCCCTCCTCCCCTTCTCCCTCTGCTTGGCCACCGCGCTGCCGCTGGCCTCGCCCATGAGGCCGATGACCATCCCGGTGACGCCGCGGGAGCTGAGGTCCGAGGTCGTCACACACTGGCGCAGCGGCGGGCCGCACAGCCCGAGGCCTCGAAACGCGGTGAGGAACACAGGGAAGCCGCCGGAGAAGCGGTTGGCGCCGAGGTCAAGGACGCGGAGGCGGTCGTAGGTGGTGTTGGGCCCGACCGGCGCCGGGACGGCCCCCCCGTGAGGGCGTTGCCGTGGAGGCGGAGCTCGGTGACGCGGTCGCAGAGGTTCCATATGGAGGTGGGCAGGTCCCCGTCGAGGAGGTTCCCGGCGAGGTCGAGCGCGGAGAGCGATGGCATGTTGCCGAGCTCGAGTGGGACGGGGCCCGAGAGGGCGTTGGCGGCGAGGTAGACGGAGTCAAGCGTGGAGAAGGCGCCGAGGTCCGGCGAGAGGCGACCGGCGAGCGTGGCGGCGGGGAGGCGGATGGAGACGAGGAGGAGAGCGGGGTCGGAGGCGAGGGACAGGTTGCGGGAGGAGGAGGCGGCGTCGCAGCGAAGGGGCCAGCCGTCGGGGTTGGAGGTGGGCGAGGCCAGCGTGACCAACCGTCGGGGTTGGAGGTGGGCCGGCCTCATGGGCGAGGCCAGCGGCAGCGCGGCGGCCAAGCAGAGGAGGGAGAAGGGGAGGAGAGGAGAGAGAAGGGTGGTGGGGCCCACAGGGGGTAAAATCGTCTTTTCGCATGGCAGTTAACGATCCACGGACAAAAAATCTAACGGAGTGTCATATAAGGAATGAAAGTTGAACTCGGTGTCAAATAGGAAACGAAAATTTTTTGAGAGCCAAGAAAGGAACGGGTCATTTTTCTGATGTCAAATAAGGAATTCTCTCATAGGAAAGTGTGGCAGCAAGTCAGTGATTATCCAATATTTTTTTTAAAAAAATATCATTATTCTGAAGCCTTGTGACATATGCTTTTGTTTTAGCCTTATAGGCATTCAACCTCCATAGAGTACAAATCATTTGTTTCATTTTTAGTCCAACCGTCTAAGGGTCTTTTCAACTGGCTGAAAAAACGGCTGATGCTGATGCTGATTTGTCGTGACAGAAAAACACTGTTATTTCGCTGAAATGATATGGCTAATAAGTTCAAGCGAACAGAGCCTAAGTAAGGGGTTGGAATCTTAGACTTTTATTGTTGACAGGAGTTACAGCAATTCTCTGAGCATTTTAGCTTTGCAGGAATGGTTTTCTGTTCAATAATGGCCCTATTCGCTTCGCTGAAAAATTATAGTTGAAAGTACTGTTCGCTGATTTGTTACGAGAGAAAAATACTATTTCGTCGCTGAAACAGTATGACTAATAAGACAACGGAACAGGGCCAATGACTAAACAAAACGTTTTTGCAACTAGTACTCTGTAGAGTGATGCACTAGCTTCGAATTTAGGCTCTATTGCAGCGTGCTAATGACCATAAAGATTTTCGACATGCCAATCTCTAGAAACTAGAGCAATGCAATTATCTACTTTCCATGGATGACCTTCTAAATTCAGTATTGATCAATAATATTAAATCTCTTGTGTTTACTTCTTAGGGGTGTTTGGGACTATTCTGCTCTACGTTTTCCAGCTTCGCTCTATTTTTTAGTCAAATGGTTTCAGCTCCACGCACTCTGTTTGACAAAAAATGGTGGAGTTGTAAGAGCATCTAAAGGGCGCGTTCGCTGATCTGGTTTTTCCAGACCAGTCGGCTGCTCCTCCTCACAAAACACTGTTCATCAACCAGCCGCTACAGTGTTTCTCTCTCACACAACCAGCCAGTTTCAGCCAAGTTTCAGACCAGCGAACGGGGCTTAAGTGGTGCTCCACAAACTCTAATTTTTTTATGGAGCTGCTCCACGGTGGAGTCTGTGGAGCAGAGTTTGTAGAGCAGTCCCAAGGGGGTGTTTGGCACTGCTCCGCTCCCGTTTTTCCAGCTCTGCTCCATGAACTCCACCATGGAGC